ATCCCATATTAGCCCAACTTTTAGAGACCTCTGATGATTTTAAGGTCCTTTTTTTTTTTGCTTGATAACCCAGATACAAAAATAGGTAAAGGTAAAGGTTCCCTTGCTCGAAAGCCAGTCGAATCCGACTCTAGGGTTGCAGTGCTCATCTCCGTTTCAAAGCCGAAGAGCCAGTGCTGTCCGAAGACGTTTCCGTGGTCATGTGGCCGGCACGACTAAACACCAAGGCGCACGGAACGCTGTTACCTTCCCACCAAAGTGGTACCTATTTATCTACTTGCAATTTCTTGCTTTTGAACTGCTAGGTTGGCAGGAGCTGGAACTAGAGACGGGAGCTCACTCAGTCATGCGGCACACTTGGGTCTCGAACTGCTGAACTACCGACCTTCCACAGCCTGCAGTTCAGCGTCTTAACCACTTGAGCCACTGCAGCTCCAGATACAAAAATAACTGAGTAGCAAAGTTTCTTTGCAGTGCCATGGTCACAATTCTTGATAAGTGATGCTATGAATTAGGTTTTATTATGCTGTTACTCTGTTTGTTTATTCTTCAACTCTAATTTTACCCTGCACAGATTTTGTATTTAGATTATTGTATCTGCATGTATATGGCAATAAAGGCTTGTCTAAAAGGAAATAAAACTGTTCTGTTCTTGGTAGAGTCCGGTTTTGCATTCCCCAGGTGTTAATATGTAACCTGGAAATTATGCTTCATTAAAGCAGAGTCCCCTAACTGATACATTTCCTAATTAAATTGAGTTTTGTGACCTTTGGGAAGTGTATGTGTATGGTAGTAGACAAATTCCTTATCATGAAGCTACTGCCTCTTTTAGATGGTGCTCTAATGGAGCATGTAATATACTTTCAGCCTTCACAGTCTGTGTAAAATGATAGATGGCTGAAATGTCTCCAAAACTGTGTGGGTTTGAATCTTCTGTTAGGAAATACGGGTAACTTGCTAAGCTGTTTGTATAGCTGACTTAAAGTAATCTTTCTGTTTTCTTTTCAAGATCCCCACATTAAAGTCTCTGGGAAAAAAGAAAATGTTAAAGAAGCAAAGGAGAAGATCATGTCTGTCTTGGACACAAAAGTAAGATGAAAATCCGATACCCGGTTCAGGACCAGAATCCCAAGTCTCGGGTTTTTTGATTTTTGAGACACAGTCGTGTTGAATGTGTCAGCACACTGAAGTTCTTGAACCATCTCAAGTTGCATTCGAAAGCAAACATTTTCACTGAATATTAACATTGATAATGCGCCAGTGGTTATTTCCATGTTAGATTCGATACATTTTCAAGTAGTTCACCTTTACATGCCGTAAAATAAATCAATGACAGTACCCGACAGGAACTCTGGAAGTACTGTGGAGAAATTGGGGGTTCTGTAATATGAGAATATCACCACGTTTTTATCATGGGCATCCTGATCCTATTAAGTCTCTTTTAGCTACTTTGGCGCAAACCTCAGTCTGCCATGCAACAGCTAAAGCGGGATTCTACATCCTGCTTACATTTGCATGGAAGAAGAAAACAAACAGCAATTGAGGCTTGTAAAAACAGAAGCACACAAATGTGCTAACGCAGTTGCTCTAGTCTGTAGTGTAAATGAAGGCGGGGCAGACAAGTGCATCCTGGGTAAGAGCAAAGCAGTTGTCCTGTAATGTTTTGGCAGGTATTCAAATGCTAACTTATGCAGTGTTATTAATCTGGAGTAATCTGACCTGGCTTGGGGGTGGGCAGTGGAAAAGCCAGATGAAGGACCCTCGCTAAGTGTGAGAGAAGCAGGCTGCAGTGTGGTGACCCTGCAGGTTCTTATTGGCTGTATGCATGGAAGTTGACAGCATTCTAGGGCTGCCAAGTGGGGGCGGGTGGCGGGCAATGTTCCCTCTAAGCTGTGGAGCCTTGTGAACAAAAATTCTACTTTGTGAGCCACTGGCATTAAAGTGACGAGCAAGAAATTTGGCTACTGCATAAATTACTTTGCTCTGGAGCCATCCTTTCTGAGCTAAGACAAAAATGTGTGAGCCAGAGGCTAGAAAACTGTGAGCTAGCTCACACCAACTCAGCTTAGAGGGAACACTGGTGGCGGGTAACCCCCCACTTTGGAGGCCCGATTTCCGCTGCCACGGAATCGGGCCCCAGGGGGAACTCCGCCCCCTGAAGCGCAGCGTGGCTGCGTCACCAGAGGTGACGCAATCACGTCAATCACTCTATGGTTTTCTCTCCGACAATCGGGGCCACGCCTTCAACGTGATCGACGTCACGCGTCACTTCCAGTGATGTGCTGGCGGCGCACGTGCGCACGCACATCGAAGGACGGCTCCCGGAGCCCGGCGGAGCTCCCCCCCCGGTAAGAAAAACTGACTTGGCAACCCTACAACATTCAGATGTCGGATTTTGCTAGTGGGAGATGAAGGCATGGAATTCTGGGAAGTTGCCTCTGGCCTTTTTGCTGAACTGCTTCTTGACAAACTCATGGTAGAAAAGAGAAGCAGTTATCCATGAGAATCTGAAATAAAACATTTCAGAAGGATTGTCAACTCACTCCTAATTTGGGCAAACGTTTCCCGCAGGAGTCAATCCAGGACTAACTTATTGTTTTGTACTTCGGTTTTCTACCAACTATATACAACCTGACAGAATAATACTTCTTTTTTTTTTTTTAAGATTGTCCAGCTCTGGTTCCCAAGATCAGGGGTGGGTTTTGGTTTATACAAGCTGGGAGCCTGGTCCAAGCAAGACCCCTTACAGGATACCTCACTGGATGCTGCTCTCTGGATCTGTGTCTCCTACCACCACCAAGATCCTTTACAAGCCCCATCAAGGGCAGGCAGGCCTTCACAGAGGTCAAGAGAGGCCCGGGCCACTTCCATTTTTGAGCCCCCCATCAGTAAATTAAAAATTGTAGAAGTGTGAAAACAATGATACAAAATTAGTAGTATTATATTTTAAACGTTTACATTTAATACAATAACAAAAAGGATATTGTAAGACTTCGTAATAAATGTTCCCATTTTTATTTAACACGTGATTTAACGTCAAAAATGTAAACCTGAGGGGGGCCGAGAATGTGAGGCCCAGGCCAAATGGCCCTGCTCCCCCCCACACACACACACTCAGAGGCCCTGAGGGCAGGTGATGATCAGTGGGACACCTGAGCTTCTGGCCTAGTGCTGAGGCTTAGATGGGGTCTTGGAGTGACAACATATTTGTCCTCTGTCATTCAAACCCACTGTACTCAGCACTGACAGGATATAACTCCTAACCCAAGTGTTCTTTGAGAAGAACAAATTTGAGGGGCAGGGAGAAGCAAATAAGCTAATTGTTGTTGAGTATTATTATTATTTTTTTAACTGCCAAACCCTAAGACATATTCAAGTGGGTAGCCGTGTTGGTTTGAAGCAACAGAACAAAGTTTGAGTCCAGTGGCACCTTAAAGACATTCTTCAGATACCTTAAAACAGACTTCCTCAAGCATTACATACAGGTAGAGAGAGGGATCTTACCAACTGTGTTAATCCAATCTTAGCTATCTGTATGCGTCTTGACTCTAATTAGCCCTTCCTAGCAACTAACCCCCCCACCTACATGTAAAGCTTTAGGAAGTCTGTTTCAATGAATCTGAAGAAGTGTGCATGCATACAAAAGCTTATACCCCTAAGACATAACATGGTGTTCTCAATTTAAAACAACTCCCCAAGATCTCTTGTGAGGGAGGGTTGCCATCGTTAAAGCAGGAAATGTACCTTTAAATCTTCTAAAATCTTTCGGTGCAGAGTCATTAAAGTAGGTTACTACTGGTCTGTGTTGTGTGTTTTTTTAAGTGTCCAGCAAATTTATACTGTGTCTTTTGGCCCAGCAAGGCCCCGTGAAGCAGCTTGCAATTAGAAAGAATAAGTTAAATCACATGAAATTAAAAGTGTAAAAACCAGACACTTTATAACTAATGCCAGATCCTGGGCAGGAGAGGTAGAACTCTAAATTCAGTTGCTATCATGGGGTGTGAACAATAGTATAGGTACATCAAATGGCAGCTAAATATTATATACATAGAAAAAGGGAAGTGTGAAATCAGAAAGATGTAGAACATAGAGAGGTATGGTAGATATCATTTTAACCAAAAAAATGACTCTATACATAGCGAGTATCTGAGCTTGACTGAACATAGCAAAGAGTCTGTAATATCAGGAACTAGGAATAAGGCCTGTTGTGGAGATACATACAACGAGCTCTAGAAAGAGGCTCTGGGTGGATGCACTGGTCTTTGGCACTCAGCGTCAATTTGCTGTGGTGACCTCAGCAGGGTATTATGACACAGAGCTTACTGTTTTCTTCAGGGGAACTGATCTCTGCCATCTGAAGAGCAGTTGTAATTCTGAGTGATCTCCAGCCCTCCCCTGGAGATTGGCAACACTG